AGTGTTTCTATAGGTTTTAGTGCATGTAAATGGAGTTTCTCTCCCACACCACTCCCCGCAACCCCCCCAGCGTGAAACGCCGCCATCTGGACCCCTTTGTTTACTTCTGTAAACATAGTAAAGCCAACGCTTCTACTTGGCTAAGTGGCTCCAACACATTGTATGTGATAGGCTAAGGGGCGGGACATCTTTAAGTGGTTGACCAATTACAACAGAGCCGGCCAGTTAACCAATCAGAGCAGACTGGGCTCTGATTTCAGACAGAGGGTGAAAAGAGGTGCTGCAGCACAGGCAGTATGAGAAAAATAAGGGTTTTTTGAACATTAAAGCATGGAGACATGTCACAGTAGAGACACTACATACTGATATGATGATGAAAATGATAGAAGGAGCTCAATCGAAGATCAGACCTTAAAGAATGGGTCCTGAAGTTGTTATGAGAAAAAGGAAAACTACAAAGTCACCAGAATACACGTTCGAGTCCTGCTGAAAAAAATCCATGTGGCAATACAATAATGTCTTATTTCAGTGCTGTCTTGTTTTTAAATAATTAGATTTATAAAAATAATCACATTCCTCGAGCTCCGTTTGTTTTGTGAGCAAAAACCTTCATTTATAAAGTAACTTGAACTGTCAGATGATTGTACAGCGGTAAAGCAGAATATTTCCCTCTGAATTATAGTGGAGTGGAAGAATAAAATGGCATGACAAGAATGAACCTCACATCTGTACTTAAGTACAGTACTCAAGTAAATATAGTTGTAGCGCTGCTGGTGGCTGTAGCCTAGATCAGAAGTAAGTAGATATGGTAAAATAATATGCTTTTGGAACAAAAGTAATTATCACCAGATTTTATTTTATGGAAACAAACATGATAGTAAATGCAGGGTACCCACAATTATATAATTCAGTCGGTGATCCTGAGTCTGTATTTGTTATTAATACGTCCATGTCTGGTTGTGTGTGTGTGTGTGTGTGTGTGTGTGTGTGTGTGTGTGTGTGTGTGTGTGTGTGTGTGTGTCAGTGTGCAGGGGCTTTAAACAGCTGCACTAGGTCCAGCAGGTCCTGCCTCTGCAGACCGAGCTCCTCCATCAGTGTGTTCAGGTACACCTCTGATGCGTCCGTCAGCAGGGCCTCCTGCACCACCCGAGACACCCCCGACAACCTGCAACACAACATGATACACAAGACACTCATGTTATCAGTTTTCTGCAACAAAAAGGAACATTAATAATAAGATTCTTTAGGACACACTCCAATAGTGAAATCTATGTCAAGTGCTAAAAGTGGCTAACGTTGTCCGAAAATACATCTGGTTTACGGAGTCATACGGATATCTCATGAGTAAAATACAGATCACATCTTATAAAAACAGAGGTTGAGGTGGGTTCTAGTTTTTCACTCAGTAAAGGTAAAACTCTGCCCACTGCTTACATGTGTCACAGTGTTTACCATGGTGTTTACATTAGTAAGCTGGTTGCTCAGGTTCCACCTTTACATGAGGAACCAGGTTTCAGATCATCTGTTTGCAGTAAGCTGTGTCATGATTCCTCAAAGCCATGATGAAAAGAGAATGTTCACAAACAAGTGTATATGTCAGTGACCTGGTAGTGGGGAACTGCAGCGAGAATATTTAAATAATACTTACACAAAAAGTATTAAATAAATGAAAATACCAAAAACAAATTGTATTGTTAAATGAAACTTCTAGAAAAGCCAATTGATGCTGCTGATGTATGTGCAAAAAAGGGATCTGACTTCAGGTAAGCACGGGAAATGTGCATTACTTTGAATACAATTACAGCTTTCTCAAAGTTTCATATTTTTGGAAAAAAACAGGGTGTGTCAATAGCATTTATATAGATTTAGTCATTTTTACTCTATATAATGCAAAACATATACATATTACATCTTTAATGAAATAGTCGTAGTATGATTCATTTTGGCTACTGTAGGTGTAACTACATTCCCACGGGATAAATACAGTATTTCTGATTTGAAGTAACCTCATGAGCATCTGATCAGTGTGATCATTCCTGCAGCAATGTCAAATTTGAATAGAAAAAGTGCCACGATAATAAATCAGCACAGAAACCTCTTGTGTTTACGTCCAGCTCTAAATCCAGCTAGCACCCTTCCACCTGATCTCAGTCACCTCTCTACCCCCCCACCCACTTCTCTCTCCTGTCTACCTGTGTGGAGGCTGCCTGATCTCGGGTTCAGCCCGGGGTCTAGTGTTGCAGGGGGGGCATCAATTATTCAGCCGGCCTCAACAATAGAGGCCAGACCAGCTCCACAGCTGCCGTGCAGCAGATAGATGGAGCGGCACCAAATTATTCATGATGGAGGAATGGAAGGATGGAGAAGCTTGAATCATAGAGAACCAGCGGGATATGTGACAAAGAGAGTAAATGTTTCCAAAAGGGACGATTATTAAAAATGGAAAAAATAACTAAGATTTGTGACGGTAGTAAGTCATCACGTGGCTCGTCACAGATGTAATGAGTTTAGGTTATTAAGTGGTACATAGATCAGACAAGTGTCTATGTTTCTAAAAGTGGCGTGAGGGGTGTCCGGTGCTTTGCTCAAGGGCACCACGGCAGGGCAGGAGGTGAACTGGGACCTCTCCAAGTAGCAGTCCACACTCAATATTTAGGTCTGGTCGGGGACTTGAACCGGCGACCCTACGGCTCCCAGTCCAAGCCCCTACTGACTGGATTCATTTATTCTCTCCAAAATTGTAGCAGTTTAACATAACACTTGTGTCAAGCCTCCCTACACAGAACCTAATGGAGCTCCAGCTAATCCCCTCCCCCACTGCCAACAACTACATGTAGAAAGATGGGTCTTGGACTTGTCACCACAGGGCAATTATGAGAAATTATTGTAAAACCATCAATTTAGTTGACCGATCTATTCTAAGGTCCAATCTCCAACATTGCAGGAATCACACCTTAAAAAGGGGCACTTATCACTGCATGATAGGCCAGCCACACAACAGAGATCCAACAGACAGCGTGCCAGCTTGTATGCCTGTTAGAAGAGATTACATAACTGTCTTACATACATGTGCTTTTTCTTTTTCTTGGTTCTGTGGTGAGATTTTCTACAGATAGTATTCTTCAGACGACACTTGAAAATAAACTCTCAGCCCACCACTACGCCAACGCTTCGCACTGATTGTGCTCTATTCCGTGATGGACGTATGAGTGTGCGCACATTTTACAAGTCCTTTAAATATATCTTGAACAAGAACATGATTAAGCACTAAAATAATAAATACAAAGACACACTCCAGCAGCGTAGTCCAGTGGACGGAGCCAGGAATGGTTCCAGTGTTGAAATGTGTGTTCGTCTTCGCGCTACACCGACTCAGCCCATCAATGAACTAGCAGCAGACAGGGATCTCATTTGCTCAGAGATAATTCCAGCATGGCAGATGTGCTCTCAGAACTCAATTTGTCTTTGTCATTAGGTGATCATACACACTAACACAAAATAATACAGCTGTTTATGAGAAACAATAGCGATGAAACCTTGTTAATCCACCTTCTGCTGTCTCAGGTCTTCCATCTAGTGAAGACTGAAATATGACATTACTACAATATTTAGCTTTGTTACCAACACAAATGATGCCCTAATGTAATCCCACCTAACAGAATCACAGTTTAAAAAACTATACGTCATACAATCTCACAGGCCAATAATGTGATGTGACATTTAATAATATTTATTGTTTTATGAAAGATTGCAGCTAAAGTTCTGTTAATTTGTATAGTTAAACCTTACCCTATTTAGATTTTCCAACCCTAACCCATACATAAAATCTGCCTCCTGCATTGGTTCAAGTGAACCTAAACTGAAGACTTTTGGATGCATTTTCTGGAGCTCTCTCTTTAGATGGACTATTTTTGCACTCATCAAGCTTCAAAAGGACACTGAGT